ACGGACCGGTCAGTGGGAGGTGACGCTGACGGACCGGTCAGTGGGAGCTGACGCTGACGGACCGGTCAGTAGGAGGTGACGCTGACGGACCGGTCAGTGGGAAGTGATGCTGACGATTGGGTCAGTGGGAGGTGATGCTGACGATTGGGTCAGTGGGAGGTGATACTGACGGACCGGTCAGTGGGAGGTGACGCTGACGATTGGGTCAGTGGGAGGTGACACTGACAGACCGGTCAGTGGGAGGTGACGCTGACGGACCGGTCAGTGGGAGGTGACGCTGACGGACCGGTCAGTGGGAGGTGACGCTGACTATTGGGTCAGCGGGAGGTGGCACTGACGGACCGGTCAGCAGGAGGTGTCACTGACGGACCGGTCAGCGGGAGGTGTCACTGATGGACCGGTCAGCGGGAGGTGACACTGACGATTGGGTCAGCGGGAGGTGGCACTGACGGACCGGTCAGCAGGAGGTGGCACTGACGGACCGGTCAGCGGGAGGTGGCACTGACGGACCGGTCAGTGGGAGGTGATACTGACGGACCAGTGAGTGAAGGGTGATACTGATGGATCACTCACTGGGATGTCATACTGTCAGATCAGTCACTTGAGAGTTGATAATGATGAGCCAGTCAGTGGGAGGTGATATTGCCAGCAGGAGATGATAAAGGAAGGAGCTGGCTGGAAGCCTCACCTGTTTTTAATAAATTGCTTTCTCTCCACAGTCCCATGTAGTGGGACCTGGGCCAAAGTTCGCCAAGAATTTATTTAATTTGTTTGGCCTTAGTCCTCTGGTTCTGAACTTCCTCCAACGGTTAAACCTTGAGCCACGAGCTGGAGAAAACCTCTATGTTACAAGAACAGAGATACAACACTTACCATCATATCCTTTTCCTGTTTCTATTCTTTACAGCCAGTAACAGAGGGGAAGTTCTTAATTTGTGTAACCTCCAAATATAATTCCAATCTGCTGGATTTTCACTGCCTATATTGAAACTATGCCTCAGGGTTTACCTCCCATAGTTCCACTACGAAAGCCAGAGACTACAAAAGTGCAGCTTCAAACCAAACAGTGGCGACGTCTGGAGATGATGGGTTTGGGAGCAAAGGGCATGCAATACAAGAATAAAGAAATTAAAACAGGGCCACTGATAAAAGTAGAACATTTGAGACAGACCAAACATTTCTGGCACTGATTAGATTGACTGTGAAGTACTCCCAGATATTAAGCAATCAGAATATTTAGGAAAGTCAGTAGGAATTAATTAATTAATTAACTAACTGAAAATAATATCTTAACATTGGAAGGTATAGGTTTAAATAAAGAAGAGGATGAAACCATAATGTTTTGGGAACATGGCCAAGTATGAAAGTATTGGGAGTCTATCATTATTGAACAAAGGCGAGGAACCTGAAGTTGAAATCTAAATAAAGGAATGAAGTATGTACTTGTGTTAACAATGGAATTAAAATTGTAAGACACTTAAATTATTTGAGATGCCCTGGGATGGAAGGAGCACTTGTGTTCACTGGCATTAAACCAATCAGAAAGGAAATCTTACTTGGTCAGGCTTCTGAAGCAAAGAGAAGTTATAAAATTAGGGGAACATGTGGAAAACAATGACACGTGTGCAATTAAGAAAAACATAGAAAAACAAAATTCCAGGACAAGGAAAATTGACCATCGAGAAACAAAATTAGTTTGGGGTACCTTTCCAGATTCAGTGGAGGGACAAATGGTAGAACATGAGATCAGCCTCAGAAAATATATATTGACAATATAAAAAGTTGAATAGTTACCAATTCAGGTACAACCAGTCAGGGAATGAAACAGTAGACTGGATTTTCTGAGGAGTGGCATTCTCATGCAGATTCCTACTCCGGCCCTTCATTTTTACAAAACAAGGGAATTCTGCATTTCTAAGAGGAGATTCTGTTCAGGGCTCCATCAGAAGCACAGAACTGGTAGAGGAAGGCAAACCTCCCCATCACTACTTTTCACAGCCGTCAGCTGCTGCATTCTGACATTTAAAGGTCCTGTCAGCCACTTTGACAGCAGCTGTCAAACGGCAGTACATGAATTAAGGGTAATGTTAGGATGCTGGGAGGGAAGAGTGTTGGATGCATTGGGGTCTAGGGGGTCAGGTAAGCTGGGTGCCAGCAGGGGAAGGGTACCAGCAGTGGGAGGGGTAAGGTGCCAGCAGTAGGAAGCCAGATGAGGAGGTAGGACAGTAGGTGTGTACAATGCCAAGTGGGATGGGGATAGTTGCCAAGTGAGCAGGATGCCAGGTTACAAGGGGACCAGGTAAGTGATACAGTAGGTTGGGATGTGTGGGACAAATCAGGTCCATCAGGGTGGGGTGGTGGGCAGGGGTTTGCATTGGGTCTGGTAGAAGGGGGTGTTGGTTGAGGGTGGGGATAGTGTCAGTGTGGGGATACTGTCAGGTCTGGGGCATGGTTCCAGCAGAAAGGCAGTGTTGGGATGGGGATCAGGTCCAGTGTGACAGTAGGGGGAAGGATGGAAAAAAAGGTGTTGGATGTGGAGTCAAAATCAGTTGGCAGGCGAAGGGGGTTTTGGGCCCAGGGAGATGGGAGGGGGCTGTTAGGCTGTGGGATGTGTTGTTGAGGGTATGTGAGGTAAGTATGGCGTCACTTGGTCATTAATCCTAAATGTATAGCTAATAGTTAAATGTAGTTAATAGTCTAACTTTTCATGAGTAACTAATTATTTAACTTCATCAGAACTCTCCAAATTCTCAGATTTAAATGGAAACTTTCAGAGGGTTCCAGATAGAGAGGAACTGCTCAGCAGAACCTTCAATTTCCCGGGCAATTCCTTCAGAGTCTGCTTCAATTGGTTTCTCCTTTACAATTTACAGCTACGCTGGAATAGCGACTGTCTGATCAGCAGAAAGTACTGGCAAGTGGAAAATCTGGGCCAATGTGTTAAAGTTTGGGTAGAGATAATTAGGCAACCACATTTAAACCCTGATAATAACTACTTAGCATAGAGTACATAGAGTTACCCAAAAGATCAGAGAAAATTTATAATAATAACAATACACAAGATTACAAGGAAAAAGTGCTGTAGAGGAGCCTCACTGATAAGGTACATGAAGGATATTCTCTGCACAGTGTTTTGCTGGAGTGAGCCATATTCCAAGGTTGCTAGTTATTGATACGCCAAGAGGAGGTGGATGTACTATCACAGCGGTAGCAGAAGCCTTTAGAGTTCTCTTTAAAAGTTTGAGAAGTTTCATTGGCCACGCAGAGAGAGGGTCCTGCTCTTTACAGGCTGGGATGAAAATTGGGCTGGCACACATCCCCCATAATCCCTCCCCCCGACATTTTGCTGCAACCTGGCGATTGAGGTTTTGTTAGCTCTGGGCTGGGGATGGGGAGGAGGCTGTTCAGGGTTGGTGGAGGGCGCTATGGTTAAGAGGGGATGTTGGGCCCCTCTCCTGTGAAGGAAATCCGGGTTGGTTTCGTGATAAGGTAATTAGCTCCTCTTCCAATCATCTGTCTTTTCCAGGGATCAACAACAAAGTCCTACACCTTCACATTTCTCATCTATAGAAGCATACACTCATCCCAGCCAGGTTGAAAACAGCCTGGCTGTTTAGAGGGGTGCACAGGATGTGTCCTTCCCCCATCATTAATGTTATACCTTTTCCAGCCTGGGTTAATAAATTCTCAAACTAAATTTTTACCCAGCGGTGCCCTTTCTCCTGTAGGCTGGCCTCTATTCTGCACACATTCCCTCTTGCATGTCCATGTCTGTGCCTTCTCACATCCACAATCCTCTCCTCACAGATGTCTACCCCTTTCCCTCATTTAGTTAATAGCCCTGGACTGTGAGATCAACAGAGGGAAGTAAAGAATCAGTCATGTGTCACCAACAGTATCAAATTGTAATTACTTAGCTGGTTTGCCAGGATGAGCAGAAGAGTAACCTTTGACGCATCAAGAAAACAACTTTGCAGTTTCCTCCCTGCCTTTTCTCTAACTGATGGATTTACAGATGATGCTCCCACATACAGTGATGTGATTAAAACAGGAATTCAGAACCTGCTGAAGCTGAAAGAGATGAAACAGAAACTGTTGCAGCAGCAGCACAAGAGGTTAGTGACACTACACACAGAACACTAGCGTCCACTTGTACCCAGGCAGCCCTGGCACTTTCAGTTGGTATCTGACTGGGCATCCTATCAGTGACAGGACTGCTACCCACTCCTCTACATCATGCTGCAGCTCCTCACAGACTGTAGTAAATCCGATTAAGCACGGCTCACTTGACCTTTCTGAAATATTTTGTTCCAACATTTGCTCAGCAGTCTAACCGTTAGTTAATGAGAGTTTTATCATTCATTCTACCTTTCGCTAGATGCTCCACTAATGCCTCATAGCTCCCAAATCCTCCTCTGCTCTACAGAAAGGTCTATCTCCATACTGATTTTATTATTACTTATCTCACTCAAAAAAAAAGGTCTTAGGAATGTTCTGGAAACATTAGTTAAAATTTCAGCTTGTCAGAGTATCGGGGCTGCTTAACAAGTAAGCAAGTCTGTAGGGATGAAAGTTTCCTCTGTCCTCTGACTTCTGTATTCATTGACTCATAGAACCTGGTTATTGTCAATGGGCGGCACAGTGGCTAGCACTGCTGCCTCACAGCTCCAGGGACCCTGGTTCGATTCCAGCCTCAGGCAACTGTCTGTGTGGAGTTTGTGTATTTCCCCAATTTCCTCCAGGTGCTCCAGTTTCCTTCCACAGTCCAAAGATATGCAGGCTAGGTGGATTGGTCATGCTAGATTGCCCATAGTATCCAGGGTTGTGTAGGCTAGGTGGACTATCCATGGGAAATGCAGGATTATAGGGTAGGGGTGAGGGTCTGGGTTAGATGCTCTTCGGAGGATCACTGTGGACTCAATGGGCTGAATACCCTGCTTCCATACTGTAGGGATTCTGTGACTGCCAGTTGATATTGCTGACCCCAGAAAGCTCTTGGAAAAATGGTGGTGCCAACTGACTGGAGAGTAGTATGTAGTAGGACACCCAAAGGTCAGTATTAAGACTAGCACTTTCCTTGTTTAAGATTAATAAGCTGGCCCTTGGTATAGGATATATTTTCAAATGGTTGGCACATATCTTGGCAATTTATAAAGTAGTTAACTTCAAGAGAAGACAAGTGAAACGTGCAGTCACAAGTTAATGTGGAATACCATATACAGGGAGGTGGACACATCATAGATTAGAGACAAAACGCAGAGAGGGAATGGGTGACTCCCAGGCAGTCTAAGAAATCCAGGCAGATAGTTCAGGAGGCTCTTGGGTCTATTATACTTGATAATCAATATTCCACTTTGGAAACTGGCAAGGGCGATATTTCCTCAGGGGAGTGCAGTTGGAGCCAAGCCGAATCATTGGGGATGCATCTGTACAAGGGAAGAGGAAGAAGAATGAAGACCAATAGCAATAAGGAATTCAATAGTTAAGGGATTAGACAGGTGTTTCTGTGGCAGTACAATGCCTCCAGGATGGTGTGTTGCCTCGCTGATGCCAGATGTCACAGAGCAGCTGCAGGACACCTTTCTGGGAGAGGGGATCAGCCAGATGTTATGGTCCACATTGGTACCAACGACATTGGTGACAAGAGGAGAAGATCCTGAAGGCAGATTTCAGGGTGTTAGGAAGGAAATTAAAAAGCAGGACCTCAAGAGCAGTAATCTCAGGATTGCTCCTAGTGCCATGTGAGCATAAGAGCAAGAGGATCAACTAATTGAACACATGGCCAGAGAACTTTTGTTTGAGTGAGGGCATCAGATTTTTGAGGCTTTGGGGCCTGTTCCACGCAGTTTACTGGACAGTTTACACCTTAACTGGATTGGGATTGATATTTTCTCAGGGAGATTTACTAGTGTTGTAGGGGTTGGTTTAATGTAGTTTATCAGGATGGGAACCTGTGGGGTAGCCCAAATTGGAAGGCAGTTAAGCTGGTAACCAGAAGTAGAAAATCTGCAAGGGAAACTAGAAGATAGGAGAAACAAAGTCCAGCATTGAGCATGCCTAGAATGAAGAATGATGTGAAAAAGACAAAGTTAAGGGCACTCTATCTGAATGCAGACAGGATCCACTACAAGATAGATGATCCAAAGGCAGAAATAGTGATACAGGAGAATGATCTAATTGCCACTACAAAAACGTGGCAGCATAGTTCCTAAAACTGGGAACTGACTATTCAAGGATATCCTTCAGAAGGACAGAAGAGAAGGAAAAAGAGATGGGATCAGTACATTTGCAAATGAGGATTTCAGATTGGAAAAACAATGTGTGGGAATCTGTTTGGGTGGAAGTGAGAAAAAAACAAGGGACAACAGAGATTGGTTGAAATTATTTTCAGACCACCACAAGGTAGTAGTAGTATAGAGTAAGGTGTTAATCAGGAAATGAGAGAAACTGGTAGCATGTGGAGAATGGAGATCATGTGTGACTACAATCCACACACAGAGTAAATCAATTGAGTGCTTAAAATTGTAGATGACAAGTTTGTGAATTGTGTAAAGGATGATTTTCTCGAGCAGTGTGTTGAGGAGCCAACCAGAGGACAGGCTATTTTAGATCTAGTTCTACATAATAAGAAAGGGCAAATTAATAATTGTGTTGTAAAAGAATCTTTAGATGATCACAATTTGATAGAATTTTACATAAGAACTTAAGAACTGGGAGCAGGAATAAGCAATTCAGCCCCTCAAGCCTGCTTCGTTATTTGATACAAACATACCTGATTTCATTTCAGCCTCAACCCCACTTCCCTGCCTGCTCTCAGTAACCCTTCAATCATTATTAATTACTATCTCCTCCTTAAATGTACTCACTATCCCAGCATCCACCACACTCTGCAGTAATGAATTTCACAGACTCACGACCCTTTGACAGAAGTAATTTTTCATCTGTTTTAAATCTGCTACCCCTTATCCTAAAACTGACCTTTAATTCTAGATTGCCCTATGTGATCAAACATCCTTTCCACGTCTTTCGCATCTTTTATACCTCAATTAGATCTCCTCTCATTCTTCTAAACTGCACAATATAGACCTAAACTTCTCGATCTCTCTTCATAAGACAAATCTCATCTCTGGAATCAATCTAGTGAACCTCCTCTGAACTGCCTCCAATACAATGAAATCCCTCAAGTAAGGGGAGCAAAACTATACGCAGTACTCCAGGTCAGGTCTCACTAATGCTTTGTACAGTTTCAGCAACACTTCCCTACTTTTATCCTCTATTCCTCCAGCAATAAATTCCAAAATTCCATTTGCTTTCCTTATTACTCACTGTACCTGTACACTAGTTTTCTGCAATTCATGCATGAGGACACCCAGATCTCTGCACTGAAGCACTCTGAAGTTTCTCTCCACTTAGATAATGAGTTGCATTTCTATTCCTCGAACCAAAATGGATAACCTCACATTTATCCACATTAAACTTCATCTGCCAAATTTTGGTCAATTCACCTAACATGTCCATATCCATTTGAGAATTTCTTATTTCTTCATTGCATTTCTTCCCACCGATTTTAGTGTCATCTGAAAATCTGGCTACAGTATATTCTATCCCTGCTTCCGAGTCATGAATGTAGATTGTAAATGTTTGGGGCCTGAGTACCAAACCTTGACACCCCAACAGTTACATCTTGCCAACAAGGAAAATAGCCATTTATTCCTGATTCTCTACTTTCTGTTATTTAGCTAATTCTCTACCCAAGCTAATAAATAACCCCAAATCCCATGTGATCTTACTTTGTGTATTTTTTTTTTGTGCGGCACCTTATCACATGCCTTCTGGAATTCAAGTTGTGCTATATCTACAGGATTCCCATTATTCACATTGCCTGTTATATCTTCAAAGAACACCATGTTTGTAAATGAGACTGTTCAATCTGAAATAAGGGTGTTAACTTTGAATAAGGGAAATTATGAAAACACCACGCATGAAATGGCTGAGGTGGATTGGGAAAATACCATGAAAAGGCATGATTGTACATACACAATGGGCAGTTTTAAAGTAGGTATTACATGACCTACAGCAACTATACATACCTGCAAAGTGCAAAAACTCAAAAAGGTCTGTTAACTGGTTAACAAAGCAGGTTAAGGATTGTATAAGAGCATATGAAAAAGCTTATAATGTGGCCAGAAATAGTAATAAATCTGAGGATTAGAAAGATTTTAGAATACAGCGAAGGGAAACTAAAATACTGATAAAGAAAGGTAGAATACAATATAAATTCAATCTAGCAAAAAATATAAAAATGGACATAAAAGCTTCTACAGGTTGGTTTAAAAGGTGACATTTGGTTAGGATAAATGTGAGTGCACTAAAATCAGAGTCAAGAGAATTTATGTTGGGGAATACAGAAATGGCAGAGAGGCTAAATGATTATATTGTGTCCGTTTTTCACTGAGGAAGATACCAGAAATCTCCCAGAACTAGAGATCCAAGTGCCTTGGGAAGATGAGGAGTTGAAAGAAATTTGTACAAAGAAGAGTGTTGTGCTGCAGAAATTAATTGGGCTGAAAGTTAGGAGGTCCCCAGAACCTGATAGTCAGAGTGTTGAAGGAGGTAACTATAGATATAATTGGTAATCATCTTCCAAAATTCCATAAATCCTGCAGATTGGAAACTTTCAAATATCAGCCCACTATTTAGGAAATGAGCAAGAGAAAAACAGGGATCTACAGACCCATCAGCCAGAGATCAGTAGGAGGGAAAGTGCTAGAATCTACCATCAAGGACCTGATAAATAGACACTTTAAGAAAAATGATTTGATGGGATATGTCAGCCTGGAGTTTGAATGGAAAATCATGTCTGACAAACTTGTTGGGGTTTTTGAGAATGATACTAACAAAACTGATAAGGGGGAGTCAGTAAATATAGTGTATTTGGATGTTCAGAAGGTTTTTGATAAGGTCCCCCAAAGAGGTTGGGAAGTAAAGATAAAACATATGGAGTCAGAGATAACATACCGGCAGGGATAAATGATTGGTTAACACATGAATAAATAGGTCATTTTTCATTTTGGCAAGCTGTGAAAGTGGCGTACCACAAAGATCAGTACTTGGGCTCCAGCTGTTCACAATATATCTATGATTTGAAAGTGGGGACCAAATGTAATATTTCTAATTTTGCAGATGACAAAAAGTTAAGCAGGAGTGTATGTTGTGAGGAAGACGTAAAATATTTTCAAGTGGATTTGGACAAACTTGGTGATGGGCAAGAACATGCAGGATGGAATACACTGTGGAAAAATGTGAGGTTATCCACTTTGGTCAGAGAAAGAGATGAGCAGATGGCCTAGTGCTATTATCACTAGACTATTAATCCAGAAATTCAGCTAATGTTCTGGGAACGTGAGTTCAAATCCCGCCACGGCAGATGGCGGAACTTGACTTCAATTAAAAAAAATCTGGAATTAAGAATCTACTGATCACAATGAAATCACTGTCGATTGTCAGGAAAAACCCATCTGGTTCACTAATGTCCTTCACGTAAGGAAATCTTCCGTCTTCACCCTCTGAAATGGCCTAACAAGCCATTCAGTTGTACCAATCGCTACAAAGTATTAAAGAAATGAAAGCGGACAGATCTCCAAACATCAAACTAGGCAGCGGAAAAGACAACAGCAGAGACAGACCTGTCGGCCCTGCAAAGTCCTCCTCACTAACATCTGGGAGCCAGTGCCAAAATTGGGACAGCTGTCTCGCAGACTAGTCAAGCAACAGCCTGACATAGTCATACTCATGGAATCATACCTTACAATGTCCCAGACACCACCATCACCATCCGTGGATATGTCCTGTCCCACCAGCAGGACAGACCCAGCAGACGTGGGGACACAGTGATATACAGCCTGGAGGGCATTGCTCTGGGACTCCTCAACATTGACTCTAGACTCCGTGAAGTCTCATGGCTTCAGGTTAAACATGGGCAAAGAAATCTCATGCTGAATACCACATACTGTCCTCCCTCAGGTGATGAATCGGTAATCCTCCATGTTGACCAACACTTGGAGGAAACACTGAAATCCCCCACCCAGAGAACATTTTGTGCCCTTGCTGTCCTCAATGTCCACCACCAAGAGTGGCTCAGCCACAGTACTACTGATCAAACTGGTCGGGTCCTAAAGGCCACAGCTGCTAGACTGGGTCTGTGGCAGGTGGTGAGGGAGCCAACAAGAGGGAAAAATGTACTTGACCTCATCCTTACCAATCTGCCAGCTGCAGTTGCATCTGTCCACAACAGTATCGGTAAGAATGACCACTGCACAATCCTTGTGGAGACAAAGTTCTGCCTTCACATTGAGAACAACCTCCATCGTGTTATGTGGCACTATCACCGTGCTAAATGGGACAGACTTTGCACAGATCTAGCAACTCAAGACTGGGCATCCATGAGGCACCATGGGCCATCAACAGAAGCAGAATTGGACTCCAGTACAATCTGTAACACCATGGCCCAGCATATCCCCTACTCAACCATTACCATCAAGTCAGGGGATCAACCCTGGTTCAATGAAGAGTGCAGGAGGGCATGCAAGGAGCAGCACTGAAGAGGATGTGTCAATCTGGTGAAGCCACCAAAAATGACTACTTGCACATCAAACAGCATAAGCAGCCAGTGATAGACAGAGCTAAGTGATCCCACAACCAACAGACGAGATCTAAGCTCTGCAGACCTGCCACAACCAGTCGTTGATGGTGGCGGATGATTAAACAACTCACTGCAGGAGGAGGCTCCACAAATATCCCCATCCTCAATGATGTAAGAGTCCAGCACATCAGTGCAAAAGATAAGGCTTAAGCTTTTCTAGCAATCTTCAGCCAGAACTGCCGGGTGGATGATCCAACTCGGCCTCCTCCAGTAGCCTCCAGCATTACAGATACAAGTCTTCAGCCAATTCGATTCACTCCACATGATATCAAGAAATAATTGGAGACACAGGATACTGCAAAGGCTACGGGCCCTAACAACATTCCGGCAGTAGTATTGAAGACTTGTGTTTCAGAACTTGTAATCATTGATCAGAAACTCAACTAGACTCACCACATAAATGCAGTGGCAACAAGAGCAGGTCAGAAGCTAGGAATACCGTGGCGAGTAACTCATCTCCTGATCCCACAAAGCCCATCCGCCATCTACAAGGCACAAGTCAGGAGTGTGCTGGAATACTCCCCACTTGCCTGGATAGGTGCAGCCCCAACAACACTCAAGAAGCTTGACACCATCCAGGACAAAGCAGCCCACTGTATCCACAAGCATCCACTCCATTCACCACTGACCTTCCAAACCCACAACCACTTTCATCTAGAAGGACAAGGGCAACTGATATGTAGAAACACTACCACCTTCAAGTTCTGCTCCAAGCCACTCATCATCCTGACTTGGAAATATATCGCTGTTCCTTCACTGTTGCTGGGTCAAAATCCTGGAATTCCCTCCCTAATGGCATTGTGTGTCAACCCACAGCAGGTGGACTGCAGCGTTTCAAGAAGGCAGTTCACCACCACCTTCTCAAGAGCAACTAGGGACAGGCACTAAATGTGGGTGGCCAGTGATGCTCACATTCCACAAATGAATAGGAAATAAAGATGTTGAGAGGTTAGAAAGTGTAGGTGTACATGGGAATGCCTTGTCAATAAGTCAGTGAAAGCTTACTTTTTGTTTTATTCAGTCATGGGACATGAATGTTCTTAGAATTATAGAATCCCTACAATGTGGAAGCAGGTCATTCAGCCCATCAAGTCAACACCAATCCTCCAAAGAGCATTCTATCCATACCCTATCCCTGCAACCCTGCATTTCCCACAGCTAACCCACCTAGCTTGCAAATTCCTGGACACTATGGGCAAATTTACCTTGTCCAATCCATCTAGCCTGCACATCTTTGGACTGTGGGAGGAAACCGGAGCACCCAGAGGAAACCCACGCAGACACGAGAAGAACATGCAAACCCCACTCAGACAGTCACCCAAGGGTGGAATTGAACCTGGGTCCCTGGCGCTGTGAGGCAGCAGTGCTAACCACTGAGCCACCATGCCACCCTTGGCTGAGAATTTGTTACCCATCCCTAGCTGCTGTTCAACCAACTTCCTTGCTTGGCCATTTCAGAGGGCAGGTAAAAGTCAAGTACATTGCTCTGGGTCTGGACTCACACGTAGGTCAGACCAGGCAAGGATGACAGTTTTCTTTCCCCAAGGAACATGAGTGAACCAAGTGGGTTTTTACCACAATCAACAATGCTTTCATGGATATTAGATTTTTGATTCCAGTTTTTGTTTTATTAAATTCAAAATCAATTATCTGCTGTGGTGGGATTCAAACCCGGGTGCCCAAAACATAAAAACAGAAAATATTGCCAGAGCCGAAGAAATGTAGCTATGAAGTAATTGGAAAGGTTGGGGTGTTATCCTTGGAATGGAGAAGGTTGAGAGGTGACATGGTTGAGGTATGCAAAATTGTGAAGGGTAGAGATAGATAGAAGAAACCTGTTTCCCTTGGCAGAGAGTTCAAAAAACAGGGGTCATAGATTCAAGCTAGGTGGCACAAGGATTAGAGGGGATGTGGAGAAAAGCTTTTTATGCAGAGAGTGATGGGTGTCTTGCATTCACTGCCCAGTTGGTGGTGGCGACAGAGACCCTAAAATCATTTTAAAGGTATCTGGATCTGCACTTTAAGTGCTATAAACTGCACGGCTATGGGCTGTGTGCAGGAAGATGGGATTAGAAAGAGCATTTGTGCGTCTTTGGGTTGGCATGGGCAAGTAGGGTCAAATGGCATCCTTCTGTGCTGTATCATTTCTATGATTCCAAATTCATTTCTACTTACTTACAGGATACAGTAGCTGTCACAGCAGCGTCAAATAGCAGGCCAGGTTCCATGACCCATCACAGTGAGTACAGCAAGAACATGGACAAGCAACTTACTGGAAAAGTATTATGACAAACAGAAGGATTTAACGTTACATGGTGCAGGAAATATTACATTGGACTTAATTTTGAAGGGTCAGAGATCAATGCTGCATTTGTATTGTGGTGACAATTATACTGAGGGGCAAGAGGACAATGTCTGTGTGTGTCTGTATGCACGTGTGTGTGAAGCAAGCATGACACTGAGTGCTGTGAGCTGTTTCAATGTTACGCAGTGCAATGTGGTACGAGAGAGGTGTGGGGTATATCAGGATGTTACTGAGATGAGTGTGGGTTATATCACAGTGTTACAGTGAGGGCTGTGGAGTATATCAGTGTGCTAAAGTGAGGGATTTGAGGTATACCTTTGTGTCACAGTGAAAGATGTGGAGTATATTAGACTGTTACAGTGAGGGGTGTGGGATACATCAGGATGTTTCAATGAGAGGTGTGGAGCATACCAGGATATCTCAGTAAGGCTTTGGGATATAGTTGGGGCTGACAAGCGGCAAGTAACATTTGCGCCACACAAATGCCAGGCTATCACCTTCACCAATAAGAGACAATCTAACCACTGCCCCTTGACATTCAATGGTGTTACCACCACTGAATTCCCCACTATCAACATCCTGGGAGTTATCATTGATCAGAAACTCAGCTGGATTCACCACATAAATGCAGTGGCTACAAGAGCAGGTCAGAGGCTAGGAATACTGCAGCGAGTAACTCATCTCCTGAATCCCGAAAGCCTGTCCACCATCAACAAGACACAAGTCAGGAGTGTGATGGAATACTCTCCACTTCCCTGGATGAGTGCAGCCCCAACAATGCTCAAGAAGATTGATGCCATCTAGGACAAAGCAGCCCATTTGATTGGCAGTGTATCCACGAGCATCCACTCCCTCCACCACCCACGGTCAGTAGCAGTGTGTCCTATCTACAAAATGCTCTTGCAGAAATAAACCAAAGATCCTTCGGCAGCACCTTCCAAACCCACGACCACTTGAATCTAGAAGGACAAGGGCAGCAGATATATAGGAACACCATCACCTCAAGTTCCCCTCTAAGCTATTCACCATCCTAATTTGGAAATATATTGCCATTCCTTCACTGTTGCTGGGTCAAAATCCTGGAATTCCCTCCCTAATAGCATTTTGGGTCAACCCACAGCAGGTGGACTGCAGCGGTTCAAGAAGAGAGTTCAACACCAACTTCTCAAGGGGGAACTAAGGGCAGGCAATAAATGCTGGCCAGCCAGTGACACCCACATCCTACAAAATGAAAAAATAAATATCAGCGTGTTCTGTTGAGTTGATTGCAATATCACAGTATGTTCCAGTGAGTGGAGTGGGATATATCAATGTGTTCTAGTGAATGGGGTGGGGTATATCAGAATGTTATAGCAAGGGGTGCAGGATATATTACACTGTTACAGTGAGAGGCGTAGGGTATATCAGGATGTTATAGTTAGGGGTGTAGGATATATCAGAGTGTTAATGTTAGAGATGTACAGTATATTGGGATGTTACATTGAGGCGTATGGAGTATCTCAGGAGTTACAGTGATGGTATGGAGTATATCAGGATGTTACAGTGAGGGGTGTGGGGTATATCAGAGTGTTACAATGAGGGATGTGGAATATATCAATGTGTTACAGTAGGGGGTGGGGGTATATCAGTGTGTTGCAGTGATAGGAGTGGGTTATATCATTGTATTAGAGTGAGGGTGTAGTGTACATCATAGTGTTACAGCGAAGGCTGTAGGGAGTTTAAGAATGCTGCAGTGAAGGTTGTGGGGATATATCATGGTCTTAAAATGAGAGATGTGGAGGGTATAAATGACTTACAGTGACAGGTGTTGGGTATATCAGGATGTTACAGTCAGCAGTGTGGGGAATATCATGGTAAATATAACGGTTGTGGGGTACATCAGCATGTTAAAGGAGTGGTGTGGGGCATATCAGAGTGTTATAGTAAGGGGTGTGAGTTATATCAGTGTTACAGTGAGGGGTGTGAGGTATATCAGGGTGTTACAGCAAGGTGTATGGGGTATATCAGTGTGTTAGAGTGAGGGGTATGGGGTATAATAGAGTTTTATAAGGAGGGGTGTGAGGTATATCAGAGTTACAGTGATATAACCCATACACCTCACTATGTTAAAGTGAGGGATGTGGAATATATTCAGTGTGGGGTATATCACAGTGTTTCAGTAAGGTGTGCGGGATATATCAGAGCCTTACAGTGAGGGGTGTGGGGTATATCAGGATGTTACAGTGAGGGCTATGGGGTATATCAGACTGTTACAGTGAGAGGTGTGGGGCACATCAGGATGCTATAGTGAGGAATGTGGAATATGTATGTTCGAGTGAAGGGTGTGAGGCATATCAAAGTGTTACAGTGAGGGGTGTGAGTTATATCAGTGTTACAGTGAGGTGTATGGGGTATATCAGTGTGTTAGAGTGAGGGGTACGGGGTATAACAGAATATTACAATGAGCAGTGTGAGGCATACCTGAGTATTACAGTAAGGGGTATATCAAAGTGTTAAAAGTTAGGGATGTCAGGATGTTACATTGAGGCGTATGGGGTATTTCAGGAGTTACAGTGATGGTGTGGAGTATATCAGGATGTTACAGTGAGGGGTGTGGGGTATATCAGTGAGTTCCGGTGAGTGGAGTGGGGTATATCAGAGTGTTACAATGAGGGACATGGAGTATATCAATGTGTTACACTGGGGGGTGTGGGGTATATCGGTGTGTTGCAGTGACGTGAGTACGTTATATCATTGTATTAGAATGAGGGTGTGCTGTCCATCACGGTGTTACAGCGAAGACTGTGGGGTATCTCAAGAGTTACAGTGAGGGATGTGGAGTATATCAGGATATTACAGTGAAAGATGTGGACTATATCAGAATGTTACAGCGAGGCTATGGGGTATATCAGAGTGTTCTGGTGAGTGGAGTGGGGTATATCAGAGTGTTCCAGTGTGTAGACTGACATATATCAGCGTGTTCCAGTGCACAGAGTGAGATAAATCAGTGTGTTGCAGTGAGTGGAGTAGGGTATATCAGAGTGTTACAGTGAGGGGTATTGGATATATCGGAGGGTTACACTGAGGAGTGTGGGGTATATCAGTATGTTACAATGAGGGCTGTGGGGTATATCAGAGTGTTACAATGAGAGACGTGGAACAAATTGGAGTGTTAGAAGTTAGGGATGTATGATATATCGGGATGTTACATTGAAGAGTATAGGGTATCTCGGAGTTACAGTGAGGGGCATGGAGTATTTCAGAATGTTACCGTGAGGGGTGTGGAGTATATCAGGATGTCACAGTGAGGCTTTGGGGTATATCTGGGGCTGACAAGTGGCAAGTAACATTCTTGCCACACAAATGCCAGGCTATGACCATCACCAATAAGAGACAATCTAACCACCGCCCCTCGACACTCAATGATGTTACCATCACTGAATCCCCCACTATCAACATCCTGGGAGTTATCATTGATCAGAAACTCAACTAGACTCACCACATTAACAGAGTGGCTACAAGAGCAGGCCAGAAGCTGGGAATACTGCGGCGATGAACTCATCTCCTGACTCCCCAAAGCCTGTCCACCATCTATAAGGCACAAGTCAGGAGGATGATGGAATACTCCCCGCTTGCCTGGATGAGTGCAGCCCCAACAACACTCAAGAAGCTTGACGCCATCCAGGACAAAGCAGCCCGCTTGATTGGCACCATATCCACCAGCATCCACTCCCTCCACCACCGACTATTAGTAACAGCAGTGTGTCCTATCTACAAGATGCTCTTGCAGAAACTCATCAAAGATCTTCAGACAGCACCTTCCAAACCCACGATCACTTCCAGGTAGAAGGACAAGGGCGGCAGACATATGGGAATACCATCACCTTCAAGTTTTCCTCTAAGTTGTTCACCATCCTGACTTGGAAATATATCGCCATTTCTTCACTGTTGCTGGGTCAAAATCCTGGGATTCCCTCCCTGATGGCATTGTGGGTCAACCCACAGCAGGTGGACTGCAGCGTTTCAAGAAGGCAGCTCACCACCACTTTCTCAAAGGCAACCAGGGGCAGGCAATAAATGCTGGCCAGCCAGTGACACCCACATCCTACAAAATGAATAAATAAAAATCAGTGTGTTCTGGTGAGTTGAGTGCAATAGCTCAGTATGTTCCAGTGAGTGAAGTGGGATATATCAGAATGATACAGTGAGGCGTGCAGGATATATCAGAGGGTTACAGTGAAGGGTGTGAGGCATATCAGTGTTACAGTGAGGGATGTGGGATATATCAGTGTTAAAGTTAGGGATATAAAGTATATTGAGATGTTACACTGAGGGGTATGGGGTATCTCGGGAGTTACACTGAGGGGTGTGGAGTATAATAGGATGTTATAATGCGGGGTGAGGGGTATACCAGTACATTAGTGAGGCTGAGGGCTATATCAGTGTCTTCCAGTGAGTGGAATGGGATATATTAGTGCGTCCCAGTGAGTGGAGTGGGGTATATCAGAGTGTTACAGTGAGGGGTGTGGGGTATATCAGAGTGTTATGGTGAGGAGTGTGAGGTTTATCCATGCTTTACACAGAGATGTGTGGGGTTTATAGAGTATTATAATTGGGTTTTGAGGGGTATATCAGATCCTTTTAGTGAAGGGTGTATGGTATATCAATGTGTTATGGTGAGGGTGTGGGGTTTGTCCATGTTTTACATAGAGATGTGTGGGGTGCATCAGAGTATTACAATGAGTTGCAAGGTCTATTTAACCATGTTACAGTAAGGTGTGTGAGGTATAACAGAATATTACAGTCAGGGGTGTGTGGTTGTAACAGTGTTACAGCGAAGGGTGTGGGGTATATCAGTATGTTGCAGTGAGGGGTGGGGGGTATATCAGGATGTTTCAGTGATGGGAGTGGGTTATGTCATTGTATTGCAGTGAGGGTGTGGTGTACATCACAGTGTTACAGGGAAGGCTATGGGGAATATAAGGAGGCTACAGTGAAGGTTGTGAGGACATATCATGGTGTTATAGTGAGAGGTGTCAGATATATCAGGATGTTACAGTCAGCAGTATGGGGAATGTTAGAGTGAGGGGTGTGGGGTATAACAGAGTATTACAATAAGGGATGTGAGGTATATCAGAGTATAACCATGAGGTGTATGGGGTATATCAGTGTTAGATGAGGGATATGGGAAATATGAGTATTACAGTGAGGGGTGTGGTGTTTTTTCATCAATTACAAAGAGGAGTGTGGGTTATATAGAGGATTACAATGAGGTTTGAGGAGCATTACAGTGAGGGGTGTGCGGTATATCAAAGTCTTAGAGAAGTGTTTGGAGTATAGCACAGTATTACAGTGAGAGTTGCAAGGTATATCAGAGTTACAGTGAGAGTTGTGAGGTACATCAAAATGTTACAGCGAGAACAATTGGGTGTATCAGTGTTACAGAGAGGGGTGTGGTGCATTTCAGTGTGTTACAGTTAGGAGTGTGGGAGATATCAGTGTGTTACAGTGAGGGATATGGGATATATCAATGCGTTACAGTGAGGGATATGGGATATATCAGTGTGTTACAGTAAGTCATGTGGGGTATATCACAGTGTTATAGTGAGGGGTGTGGAATGTATCAGGATGTTACTGTGAGGGTCGCGGGATGTGTCCTGGGTGGACTGAGCTATAAAGCTGGAGAGGAGCAAGAGGATTGCAAGTGGTAGATGTAAGGGGGCGGGCTGCTATTGAATCTATGGAGAACTGGTTGAAGTGTGGGAAATGTGGAGCTAGCTACTTACATTTTCACTTGTTTTCCAGACCCCAATGATGTGTGCCTCTACAAAGGACTCACTTGAAGCACTCTGACACCTGGACCCTGGTCATTCTCACAGTTGCCAAGAAAAACTGGAGATGTACACGAAGCCTGGTCTCTAACTCTGCACCATTGCTGATTCCAAATAAATGTTCCATTGAGAACACTGAGAAGGCACAATACAGTATTTACAAACAAAGTCCCATAAAGAAACAAGAGAAGCAATGATACCCTTCCTAGCACACCATACTTCAGTAACATTTCAAACATGCCCCAACCCCAACATGACCCCATCCCCAACACAATGCCGTCTCAAACACGGTCCCGTCCCCATCCTCAATATGCCCCTGTCCCCAACCTGGCCTCGTCCCAACATGCCCTGTCGCCAACACAGCCCATGCCATGCACAGACACAGTTGGGGAAAGATAGAGGATCAAATATGCAATCAACTTTTAGAGAAGTGTGAGAATAATGGGGCAGTGACAGTATGGAATTTTAAATACCCAGATATTTACTGGGATTGATATACCATGCAAGGTTAGGGCAGAATTCCTAAACTGTATCCACAAGAACTTTTTTAGCCAGTATGTGGAAACCCCAACAAGGGAGGGGAAGGTTACAAACCTAATATTCAAAATTGAGCCAAGGCAGGTGGAATGTATATCAATAATTTTGGAGATAGCAATCATAATCCAGTTCGATTTAAGGATAGTTATGAAAAGAGATAAGATTGAGCCAGGGAAATGCTAATTTTACAAAATTGAAATTTAGTCCAAATGAACTGGGAGCAGCTATTTGCAGATAAAATTGTGTCAGAGCATTGGGAGGCATTCAAAGAGAAATAGCAGACGTCGGACAGACATATGCCCATAAAGACAAAGGGTGGGTCTAAGACTGGACAACCCCGGACGTCAGGGGATATAAAGGTTAGGATTAAGAAAACAAGAGATTGTGGCAGATACCAAGGGCTCAATATGATGGAGTCCCTGGACAAGTATTAAAAGTGCAGAGGGGAACCTTATAAAGAAAATGCAAAGTGAGTGCATGAGAAAATATTGGTGGGTAGAATAAAGGAAAACCCAAAGTGGTTTCTCAAATTTTTGAAGAGCAAGAGAATAACTAGGGAAAGAGACCTGTTAGGGGCTAAAGGTAATCCGTGTGTGGGCACAGAAGACCTAGGCACAGTCCTCAATAAATACTTTGTGTCGGCCTTCCCAGAGGAAAAGAATGTCACAGGTCTCAACATCAAGGTGTAGGACCTCTGAAATATTAGAAGAAATTAATATAGCGAGGAGTACTAGTGGGATTAGCTGCTTTATAAGTGGATAAATCTACAGGTCTAGATGAGATGGATCTCAGGCTGTTGAGGGAGGCAAGAAGGAGATATTAAGAGCCCGGGCAGTAATTTTCAAATGGTCTCTGGCCACGGGTGATATGCCAGAAGAACAGAGGACTGCTAACATTGTCCCATTATTAAAAAAAAAGGACAGACCAGAAAATTACAGGTCAGTCAGTCTAACTTCAAGTGGTGGGGTAGTTATAAGAAAGAATTCTGCAGGACAGAACCCTAACCCTATCTGCACTTGGAGAGATATGGATTAATCAGAGATAGTCTGCATGGATTTGATAATGGAATATCATTTTTGACAAATTTGATTGAATTTTTACAGCAAGTAACGAGGAGTGTTGATGAGAGTTATGCATTTGATTTGGTCTACATGGACTTCAGAAAGGCTTTTGATAACGTTCCTCATGGCAGAGTTGTCGTGAAGTAAGAGCACATTGGATCCAAAATCGACTGAGAGGCAAGAAGCAGAGGATGATAGGGTGGGATGTTTCTGTGACTGGAAGTCTGTTTCCAGTGTAGTTCCACAGGGTTCAGTGCTAAGGCCCTTGCTGTTTGTGGTGTACATTAATGATTTGGACTTAAATGTATGGGGTATGATCAAGAAGTTCACGAATGACACTAAAATTAGTCAGGTGGTAAATACTGAGAAGAATAGCTGTAATCTGCAAGAGGATATCAATGGACTGGTCAGCTGACTCCATTGAGTACAAATCCAGAGTCCTCAAACACTACTCATATGACAAGTCCTTCAAGCCTGGAATCATTTCTCATAAACCTCCTCTAGACCCTCTTCAACGCCAGCACATCCTTCTTTAGGCGTGGGCCAAAAATTGCTCACAACATTTCAAATGCGGATTGACAAGAGCCTTATACAGCCTCCGCAATTGTATTCTAGACTTCTTGAAATGAATGCCAATATTGCATTTGCCTTCTTAGCTGCCAACTGAACCTGCATGTTTACCTTAAGAGAATCCTGAACGAGGATTCCGAAGTTCCTTTGATCTTCAGATTTCCAAAGCCTTTCTCCATTTAGAAAATAGTCTATACCTGTATTCTCTCTACCAAAGTGCATAACTCCACAATTTCCCACATTTTATTCTATCTGCCACTTCTTTGCTCATTCTCCTAGCTTATCCAAATCCTTCTGCAACCTCCCTGCCTCCTCAACACTATCTTCTCCACCTATCTTTATGTTATCAGCAAATAACAACATTCTCCGTTCCTTTACCAGATTGTTAATGTATAACTTGACTAGTTATGGTCCAAACACTGACCCCTACAGAACTCCAGTAGTCACTGGTTACCATCCTCTACATGCTCCATAACTTCTCAATGACCCTGCATTTTTCTCAGTTTCCCTTTTATCTCCCGTGAAGCCTTCTCCAAGCCGATCATGTCCATGAGGCCTATTTCCAGTTCCCTGACCCCATTCCCACCAAACTGTTGACCAGCCAATTTCCCATTGTGATGCCCACTTTAGCTAATAACCTAATAATTTTCTTCACGAAGTATTGTCAGCCTTTCATTCAAAGCTGTTGGCATCATGCCCATTAGAAAAAAGCTTCTTCGATCTGTTCAAACTACAAACCCAACTCCACTGACCTCATACCAGGTACCTCATGCACCAGTGCCCAGGTTTCCACTAGTTCCCTATCCAAGTTCCACAGATACAGCCCTAAGCAAAATCACAACAAACAGAAAAGTGACTGTGACCATACCGCATCATCTTTCTGTATTATCCTTAATTATCACATGGTTTTTCACCCCTTACAATGCCTCTCTCCTCTGTCCAGCCTGAAGGATTCCCTTGCCTGATCCTTTTTCCTATCCAATCAGAGCTAAAGCATTTAGCAAAGGAGATTTTCTGCCTGGCCTCAAGAATCTATCATTGTTCTCATCCTCTTCCTCATTGACCTGCTCCTCCACCAGCTTCCCTCCTATTCCTTTTGAACCCTTCACTGCCTCCCTGCCTGATAATTCTACATCCAGCCTCAGATTAGTTGTGATACATCCAGTGAAACATTGGGAAATCCAATCTCTTCATCAATCCCACTGCCTCATGCTAAACTGTTAGATCCTCAGCTGCTTATTTAAGCCTGAGCTAAGTCTCCAAACCCAAATCCTCTCCACTGCCATGGACCCTGATTTCACACCTTCTGTCAGCCCATTAAAGCAGATTGTCCGAAATTCCTTAATGAGACACTTTAACTTCAGAAAAAGATTTAGAGATTCTCTGAGGGAATTCAGACAGCTGTGTTTAAATTAAACCCTTTTACCAACAGTTCATAAACTGAAATCAGAATAAATAAGGACCCTACACCAACCTGAACACTTTGCTCACTGGCCTCAAGCCTGTACAAAATGGATCCTTTATGAAATAGTATTGTTCAGAATAAGTATAAAATTCTAAAGGCATTGGCAGGCACATTTTAAGACCACCTTGACAGGGAAACTACTTTCTTTCTCTGTAAATAAAACACATGAAGAGTCCTGAGTAATATCACACTCGTTCCTTACTCAGGAACACAGGTTACATTCCTAATTCAATTGGATAACACCTTGTACCTTCTTCACTGTCCCAGTATCTGGTAAGGGCCAACAAATGACCCTCAGCATGAGATAAAGCAAAATGTGACCTTGAGCTAAAGCGATGGACAAGGGCAAGGTGACTATCTTGACATCTAGGGTTTCTGCCCTCTATTCATTGATCAGAAAAGTTTGAATAAGTGATTAACACAGCTAGACCTCTAGCCCCAAGAGATGAAATATATTAACAATTGCCCAGAGACAAGGGGTTGTGCAGGTCTTGCAGCCACCTTCTGCTGAAAGATGGATAAGGGGATATCACCAGGTCAAGAGGTTCCAAATACTTTGGCTAGAGAGCAGTGTGCTGCCATGACACAAAACTGTGACAACCATCCCTTTATCCTCTGGAATATAAGTCAACCATCATCAACTGTCACTGGTCAAACACTTCTACCTATTTAGCTAATGTATCCTATCTAAACTTTTCTTTTGGATTGCATCCAATCTGCGAGCACCGCCGTTGCACGCCTAAGGACAATAGTCTTTGACATCTGCACAGATACCAAAATCCTTGGTGTCTAAGTCAGTCGTCCTTCCAACTTTTCTACATGACTTTGAAACTCGGACTACAGAATCCATCTCAAGACCCTTGAGAAGCACCATCAATGTTGTTTGAGATGGATTCTCCACATCGCAGGGAAGACAGACATACTAACATCAGTGTCTTGAAGCAGCTAATAGCACCAGCATCGAGGCCATGGTCATCCAAAACTAACTCCGCTGGGCTGCCACATGCTTAGGATGCCTGAGTTATGACTGTTAAAACAAATTATCTTTTGCCCAGCTCATGACAGGCACTCGACCAAGAGGAGGACAAAGGAACTGTTTCAGAGACTCCCTGAAGGCTTATCTCAAGAAATACAAAATACATGTCAACACATGAGAGAACTTCCTTCAGAAGAAATCAACGTGGAGGAAACGCCTGTATGAAGGGACATATTTCTTCAAGAACACCCATCAGCAACAGAAATTGTGGAAAAGGAACCAGCCAAATGAATGATCTCAAACCTGAAAATATGTGGTTGAGGATGTGACTCCAGGACTGGGCTCATCAGCCACACAAGAACCCACAAAACCCATAATCAATAACACAGAATATTCTAGCTAGACAATCACATTCATTAATGAGCATTGCTGACAACAAAACCATCCTTTTGTAATAAAATGAACAATCACTTTCCTACCATCTACTCTGGAGCCCTTCAGCCCCAAGCCCCAGTACCAAATGCCAGGACAGGTCCACTGAGGGGTGGGGGAGGTAGCAGGTCCTGACCCCCCCTCCACTCCTCCCTGTTCCACCTCCCCCTTTCCATTACCCCCTCTCTCCCCATTCATCTCTCCATCTCACATCTCCATCTCCACTATTCCTTCCCTCTTCTCCATTCCTTCTCCCATATTCCCTCTCCCCATTCCCCCACTCCACCCCCACATTTCCCACTTACCTTCCCCACTCCACATTTCCCCCAGCCCTCTCCCCATTTTACCCACCTACTCTCCCATTGCCCCTCCACCTCCCTCTCCCCAGTCCCCTCCCTTTCCACCACTCACCCCTCCCACTCCTTCTCACTTCCACTAACCCCTAATCCCCTCCTCACTTTCCCCTTCCTCTCCAACTGCCATCCTTCTCTCTCCCCTCCACATCCCTCTCCCCACACTCTGCTCTCAAACTCCCGCACTTACAATTTCCCTCCCTGTTCCCATTCCCTCTTCCCCAAAATCTTCACCTCCCCATTTTCCCCCTCTCACCCCTCCCCTCCCCTCCCCTCCCCATTCTCTCCCCATTCTCTCCCCATTCTCTCATCCTCCCATTCTCCTCCCCCTTCACCATGCTCCTCCCCTCTCCTGATCCATCTTGCCCCCTCCATCCCATCTTCCCTCCCTCTCCCCAATCCCCCCTCCCCTCTTCCCCTCTTCCCCATTCCCCCCTCCCCTCTTCCCCTCTTCCCCATTCCCCCTCCCTATTCTACCACTACATCCCCACCCCATTCTCCCCTTCCCTTCCTACCCTATTCTTCCCTCCACTCTGCATTCCCCAATCTCCCTGTTGTACCTCTCCCATCCCCATTCCAACCCTCCCCCTCCCCAATCATCCCTGCCACACCCCTCCAACTCTCCTCATCCCCCCTTCCCACCCCATCCTCATTCTCTCTCCCCGAACTCCCCATTCCCTCTCCCCAATTCCCCTTTGTCCCCACTCGAACCTCCCTCCCCCCCTTCTTCCCACTCAATCCCCCCACTCAATCTCCCCCTCCACAATTCCATCTCCCCAACCCCCTCCCCTACCACTCACCCCACCACTCCCTCTCCACCTCCATCACCGCCTCACCAACCCCCTCCCCTCACTCCCTCTCCCCAACACCTCTCAATTGCCCCCTCCCCACTCCACCCCCACCATTTCCCCCTCACTCCACCCCCACCATCTCCCCCTCACTCCACCCTCCTCCGCCTGCCCACCCCTCTCACTCCCCCCAGAGAACCTCTTACCTCCCGTCTTCACCCTCCCCTTTCCAGTACCACCACACCCGTTCTCCTCTCCCCACCCTCCCCAATTCCAGCCTCCTTCCCTGCTCCTATTATCTCCACCCCCTCCCCCGCATTCCCCTGATCCCCCACTTTCCCCTGATCCCCCACTACCCCAACCTGCTCTGCTTGACCACATCCACACTGCCCCTTCCACCATCACCCTCACCCACATTTTGGGGAGGCAATGGCCTAGTGCCATTATCATTGGCACTATCACTAGACTGTTAATCCAGAGACCCAGATAACGTTCTGAGTTCGAATCGCACCACGGTAGATGGTGGAATTAGAATTCAATAAACATATCTTGAATTAAGAATCTGATGACTATGAAACAATTGTCAGTTGTCAGGAAAAAAACCCATGGTGTTCCCTAACGCCCTTTATGGAAGGAAACACATGACTCCAGACCCACAGCAATGTGGTTGACGCTAAACTACCCTCTGGGGGTAATTAGGGATGGGCAATAAATACTGGCCTGGCCCTCATCCTGTGAATGAACAACAAAAACATTCCTGTCCTACACTGTCCCCCCTTGCTGACCCCTCACCCTGCCCTGAGGGTGGGCATTTCCGGTGATGTACTTCCGGTGTCATGGCCGCTCAGAGAAAACGGCTCCAAAATGTGAGAAATTGTGTATGTGGGGCATGGGGGGGAAGAGAGAGAATAATAAGAGTGAGGGGGACATGCAGAAAGTGTGGGTGCTAAGAGGGGAGGGAGCAGAGAGTGACAGACAGAGAGAGGGGTAGTGGACAGTGTTGGGGCGCTGGGGGTGTTTGTGATAGAGAGATAAGGGGATTCAGAGTGAACGACTGAGGGGGGGTGGAGGTGAGGTGTAAAGCAAGGAGGAAGGGTTCACTCTGTTGGGAGGTCGCAGCTCTCCGGGTTGTTTTTTTCCCCCCGCTGACGGCTTGCTGCTTTGTTTCCTTCCTGTTCAGGAGCAGCCGAGTTGGACGGACGATCTGACCGTCTGTCAACTGTCAGGAATTGGTTATGGCACAAACCGTGTCTACCAGGTGGACGGCAGCAGCTCTGAAGGCCACACTTTGGAGGATGGTTGGCTGCGATTTCGGTAAGTTACTCTTGCACCTTACCGTCATGTCGCAGTAACTTGGGCACGCTTTACAACTTATTGATGTCCCTCTCCCTCTGCTCGTTACCCCTGTGACAACCATGTTGCACCATCTGAATACACACATTACCTGCTTCACTGGAGCATGAGAAAGGGCAGTGGGCAGTGATATTCACACTGCCCAGGCTGATGTATTTCAGAAGCGTCATAACAGACTCAAATCATTAACTCTGTTTCTGTCGCCACAGATGTTGCCAGATCTGCCGAGCTTTCCCAGCAGTTTCTATTTTGTTTCAGATTTTTCAGCGCCCACAGTTCTATTTTGGAATTAACTCAGCCCTATTGACCCTGCAAAGTCCACCTCACTAATACCTAGGGGCTTGTATCAAAATTGGGAGAGCTTATCCCACAAATCACTCAACTAACAGCCTGACATAGTTATTCTCATAGAAAATACCTTACAGCAAATGTCTCAGATACTATCATTACCCTATCTGGTTATGTATTGTTACAATGTCAGGATGGACAAGGCAGAGGTTGCAGCACAGCAGTATACAGTCCTGAGGAAGTTGTTTATTATCACTCCATTAGTCTACTTGTTAGCAAAGTGATGGAAGGTGTCTTCAACAGTCCTATCCAACAGCATTTGCTCAGCAACAAACTGCTCATTGGTGTCCAGTTTGGATTCCAACTGGGACTCCTCAGTTCCCAACCTCATTACAACCTGGGTGCAGGTGTGGACAAAAGAGCTGAATTCCAAAGGTGAGAGTGATTGCCCATGACATCAAGGCCACATTTGATCAAGTGTAGCATCAAGGCACCCTAGCAAAACTGGAGTCAATAGGAATCAGGAGTAAAACACTTCTCTGTTTGGAGTGATATCTGGCAGGTAGGAAGGTGGTTGTGGTAGCTTGAGGTCAGCCATTTCAGCTCCAGAACATCTCTGCGTGAGTTTCTCATGGTAGTATCATAGGCCCAACCATCTTCAGCTACTTCATCAATGACCTTCCCTCCATCATAAGGTAAAAAATGATCACTGATGATTATACAATGGTCAGCATCGTTCATTCATCAGATACCGAAGCAGTCCATGTCCAAATGCAGCATGACCGGGATAATAGCCACACTTCAATTGATAAATAGCAAGTAACATTCACGCCATATACATGTCAAGCAATGACCATCTCCACAAGACGGAATCTAACTCTGATATTCAATGGTATTACCATCAATGAAGTCCCACTACCAACAGGCTGGGGTTACCAGAAGCTGATCCGGACAAGTCATGTAAATGCTCTGGCTACAACAGCATGTCAGACACTAGGAATTCCATGGCATGTAACTTGCCTCCTGTTTCCCCAAAGCCTGTCCAGATTACCCATCCAGGAGTGTGATGGAATACTTCCCACTTGCTTGGATGAGTGTAGCTCCAACAATACTCAAGAAGCTTGACACCATCCAGGAGAAAGCAGCCTGGTTGAGTGGCACCCCACCCACCACCTTTAACATTTACTGCCTCCACTATTGATGCACAGTGGCTGCAGTCTGTACCATTTGCAAAAGGCATTGCAAGAACTCATTGCTCCTCAGACAGCACCTTTCACACCACAACCACTACCATCCAGAAGGACATGGGAACACCACCTCTTGTAAGTTGCATTCCAAGCCACTCACCACCCTGATTTTGGAAGCATCTTTCCATTGCTTCAGTGCCACTGGGTCAATTCCCTCGCTAATAGCATTGATAGTCTTCCTGCAACAGTTGAAGAAAGCAGCTCAGCTTAAATGTTGTTCTAGCCAGAGATATCTGCACCCTGTGAAAGAACAAAAACAAATGATAGTAAGCCATTGTATGAAATTTGAAGACTGCTAAAATGTTTGTTAGGGAGGTAAGAGTTTCTAAAGGGGGAATTCGAACTTGTGATCTAGGTGACTGAAGACATAGCTGCCATTGATAGCGTCAGTGGAGTTGGTGGGTAAGAGACCAGAACTGGCAGCATGCAAAACTTACAGACAGTTATGTTCCTTGAGTTTGTAGAGATTTTGGAGTTCTGAGACTAGAGAGGGATTTAAACATAAGGGTGAGAATTTTAACATTTAGGTGTTGCTAGCCTGAGAGTCAATGGTGGATGAATGGAAAAGATTGTGAGCTCGAATCCAGGTAGCAGAAGTGTGCAGCCATAGATCATAGAATCCCTACAGTGTGGAAACAGGCCCTTCGGCCCACAAGTGCAGACCGACCCTCACAGCATCCCACCCAGACCCATCCCCCTATAACCCACCTAATCTACACATCCCTGAACACTATGGGGCAACTTAGCATGGCCAATCCACCTCGCCTGCACAACTTTGGACTGTGGGAGGAAACCGGAGCACCTGGAGGAAACCCACGCAGACACGGGGAGAATGTGCAAACTCCACACAGACAGTCGCCCGAGAGCGGAATCGAACCCAGGTCCCTGGCGCTGTGAGGCAGTAGTGCTAACCACTGAGCCACCATGCCAGTCGGTGAAAGTTTGGAATGACCGAGATTGAAGGTGTTAGAGCCATGAATGAGGGCTGCAGGTAAGAGCCAAGTGCAAGATTGCAGGATTGGGTGTCAGCATTTGTATTTTTTTTAATTCATTCATGGGATGAGGGCATCACCAGCTAAGCCAGCATTTGTTGCCCATCTCTAACGGTCCACAGGGCAGTTAAGAGTCAGCCACATTGCTGGAGTCACGTGTCGGTAAGGATGGCAGTTTCCTTCCCTAAAGGGCATTAATGAACCATATGGGTTTTCCCTGACAACCAACAATGGATTTGTGGTCATCATTAGATTCTTAATTCCAGATTTTTATTTAATTTAAGTTCTACCAGCTAACCATGCCAGGATTCGAATCCCGGTCCCCAGGACATTTCCTAGGTCTCTGGATTAACAGTCCAGCAATAATAGCATTAGGCCATTGCCTCCCCTTAAATATGATTAGAAGATCATCTCAGAGTTGGCTATGACATTGAGATTGTGAAATCTGGTTCAGTTCCAACACAACTGCAGAGGTCAGCTGGAATCTGTTGCGAAGGAGGGGAATTTGGGTGGGAACTGAAGACAATAGCTTTTGTCTTGGCAAACATTTAATTGGAGGAAATACATGCTCTTCCAAATTTAGATGTTAAACAAGCAGTAGGGCAATAACACTGCACGAGCGGGTTTTGTGGCTGAACTTGGAACATGACCATCATGAAGAATACCTCCTTCATAGAAGGTTTAGCTTGCTATTTAAACCACTCCTTCAAATCTCTTCCTTAGACCATGTGTTTGCTAGTGTCTGAACATAGCAACTTCTGTATAACTGAAGAGTTTTATTTCTAGCACTGTCCTCATGATGCTCCCTGTGTCAATCCAACCTCATTGCAGTTTCAGTTTCATACCACACACAGATCCTGTAATGATGTGGTGTATATCCAGGTCATTAATGTATCTCAAAGAGCAGTGGTCCTAACACTGCTGGTACACCACTGCTGACTACTTCCCTTGTTTGTAAAACTGCCATTCCTATTCGCCACAACTCTCTGTTCTGTGTTCTTTGGCCAATTTTGTCCAAATGCTGCCACCAGTCCTTTGCTCCCATGAGCTTTAATTTTGCTAGCCAGTCACACGGCCTTCAAAAACTCTTTGGATTAATTCAGCAAGAACTCGGTCAAGTTAGTTGAATTGATTAGCCCTTATCAAACCCCACCGACTTTCCTTTATTACTCCATTTTTATAAATGCCAGTTATTATGCACTAGATTCCTGTTTTGTAAAAGTTCCTCTACCATTGACATTGAGTCAATTGCCTTGCAATAGCCAAGGTCATCTCCCTTCTGACTTTAAACATCGCTTCTGTATCAAAGTTGGATTCGAAACTGTGGCCAGAGTCTCCATGCTTTCCACTTTACTTCCTTTGGTAACCTAGGATACATTCCATGTAGACTAGCTGACTTTGTAACTTTGAGGTCTGCATGTCTTTTCAACACCGTCTCTTGATCTAGTTCTTTTTTATCTAATATCATTATTAGCTCCTCCATTACTGCTACATTGGCAACATCATCTTGAATGGTGGTGAATGTAAAGTCCTTATTTAGTAAATCAGCTGTGCCCTGTGCCTTCTCAAGAAGGTTTTTTTTGTCCGTAATCAGCAAAGTATTTCCTCTGACTGCCAAATATATAAATGAGGGATTTGAGTGCGGTTGTCACAGAGTACAGCTGGAACACTGCGTAAAGCTGAGAGTTTGGTGAGTAAGGGAATTCGTTAAGGAGGTATGTGAGGTGATCCTTTTTCGAACTTGAGTGTCAGCTAAATAGTACACGCATATTGATGGACTTCGTCTTCTGGTCTGAAAAAGTGACAAGTAAGATAGTTGGTGGATCGGTTTTAGTTTTCCAAAATTTCTTAGATTTGTTGAAGGTTCTGTTAGAAAATAACAATTCAGAAAGGGAGACAGCCAGCAGGCTTAACATCTGCCATGGGGAAGATGTTTGAACCTTTTATTTCAGACATTGCTGCAGGGCACATTGTAATGTTTAAGGTCCTCGGGCAGAGTAAACATGGTTTTGTGAATGGGAAATAATGCTTCTTGGAGATTTTATGATCATGCGCTGTGGCTAAAGGGTGGTTGTATGACATTTAGATTTGCAGAAGACACTTGATAAGGTGCCCCATCAAAGACTAATGCTGAAAATAAAGTTTCATGTTGTAAGGGGTAGCATAATGGAATGGATAGAAGGTTGGCTGACTAACAGGAAACAGTAGACGTACGTGGATGCTTTACCACTTGACAAGATATAATGAGTGGTGTGCCACAGGGAACAACGCTTTTACAATTTTTATAAGTGACTTGGATGAAGGCACCAAATGCATGGTAGCTAAATTTGCTGATCACACAAAGATAGTTGGAAAGTCAGTTGTGAAGAGGACATAAGGAAGTTGCAAAGGGATCGAGATAAGTTAGGTGAGTGGAGAAAGCTCTGGCAAATGGAATATAATGGGGGAAAATTTGAAACTTTGGCGGGAAGAATAAAAAAAAGCAAATCATCTAAATGTGAGATTGTAGAGATCTGAAATGAAGAGGCACCTGGATGTCCTAATGCATGAATCTCACAAGGGAAATATGCAAAAACAACAAGTACTTAGGGAAGCTGATAGAATGTTATTGTTTATTGTGAAGGGAGTTGAATACAAATGATATGCCTCAAGTATACAGGGCATTGGTGACACCGCATCTAGAGTACTAAATACAATTTTGACCTTATTTAAGGATTTAAACGCTTTTGAGGCAGTTCAGGAAAGATTTACTGAACTAATATACAAACAAACTGCTAGAGAAACTCTGCAGTTCCAGCAACATCTGGAGAGAGACAGCGATAACATTTCAAGTCCAAGGTGACTCTTCAGAACAGTCATTTTGGACTTGAAACATTAATTCAGTTTCTCTATCCTCAGATGCTACCAGACCTGCTGAATATCTCTAATACTGCATTTTTATTTCCGATTTCTACCACTTGCAGCCTTGACTGAACTAATACCTGAAATTGATGGGGGATCCAATCTAAGGAAAGATTGGGGCAGGTTATCTTGTATACTCCAGAGTTTAAAAGAGTGAGAATGTGGATTGTGGAAAGGATGCTCCTCTTCTGGGAGAATGTCGAACTGTGGGGGGTGGGCTGGTCAGTTTTTGAAAATACTGTGTTGTCTATTTAAGACATAAGTTTTTTTTCTAAGGTTTGTGTATCTTTGGTTGTTCAAAAAGTGATGGAAGCAGAGTCTATGAATATTTTAAGGCAAAAGTGAATCGATTTTTGATGTATAACGGGTAAACGTCATCAGGGTAGGCAGGAATGTGGAATAATCAGATTAACCGTGATCTAATTGGATGGTGGAGCAAGGCTGACTGGCCTTAAAAGCATAACAAAAGGGGCAGCACAGTGGCTCAGTGGTTAGCACTGTTGCCTCGTAGCGCCAGGTAACCAGGTTCAGTTGCAGCCTTGGGTAACTATCTGTGTGGAGTTTGCACGTTCTCCCTGTGTCTGTGAATTTTAGGCCGGGTGCTGCAGTTTCATCCCACAGTCCAAAGATGTGCGGGTTAGATGGATTGGCAATACTAAATTGCCCCGTAGTGTCCAGTAATTTGCAGGCCGAGGCCATGGTATATGCAGGATTACTGAGGGATAGGGTGAGAGGCTGAGTCTGGGTGGGATGCTGTTTGGAGGGTCGGTGCAGATTCGATTGGCAAAATGGCTTCTGTCTGCACTGTAAGGATTCTAAGATCATATGACTTCCTTTGTATGTACATTTTAACTATTTGTTATACCAGCTCCAACCATATCATTTATATTGATTACTTCCAAAATCCTCCTTCAGCCATACACTATTCTCCCCTTCACTACTTGAGAGATTGAGATGATTGACTGGTCATTGGCAGATCAGTTGCATTCTTCACATCTTCAACTTGGGCTTCACAGCAAAGTCAGAGACTTTGGGCGTTCTGTTCTACATTTCCTATCAATAAAATAGCCAAAGAAGCACTGTACAGTCTTTACTCAGTCACTATTCTCAAAGGCATCATCAGGTGATATTCAAAGATTGTGTAGGTGTAAATAAATCTGACCTAGTTTTATCCTTTAATATAAATCAGTGACATTCTCTGCCTTTTCAGTTGGATGGGGGACTGGGTAAGCAGCTGAATGTGAATTTAGAATCTTTCCCCTGTGAGCCTATTCTATCTGGAACTCCAGATTCCCTCCCTTTGCTGAATCTCATCCAGCCCAGACCTGTTGTGAATTTGCATTTGGCAAACGTTCTGGCAGCTGGTCCTGGGGCCTTGGCACAGAGAGTGGATGTTTGACACATCACCTGTTCCGGCTCTTTAAAAGAACAGTTTAGTTTAGTTCCAACTCATAACGTTGTAAATTAAACCTCTTCCAATAACCTGTCGAATTGTCCTTTGGGAGCTACTACAGAATTTGAATCCGCTACAGAATCTGCATGCACTACCCTTGCAGGTCATGAGTTTCAAAACATTGTGTGAAAACACTTGTCATTTTCCCTTTTCCAATTATTTGTAATTAGTGCAATGTCTGATCATCAACCCTCTCCTCAAAGGAATCTATTTCACCCCACTCACCCTGTCATTGCCATCTGATACCTACTCAGCAACGTGGAAATTTGCCCAGGTATATCCTGTCCACAAACAGCAAGAAAAGCTCAATTCAGCTAATTACTGCTCCGCCAGTCCACTCTGTACCAGCAAGTTTATCAACTGTGCTATTAAACAGCACTTACTCTGCAATACTTGAATACAGGCCTGCTGGCTTAGAGGTAGGGACACTGCCATTGCAACACAAGAACCCTTAGTTTCACAAGGTAGTGTTCTAGACCCGAAGCATTTTCAGCTGCGTCATATCAATGACCTTCCCTCCATTCTAAGGAAGTAGGGATGTTTACTGATGATTACACAATGTTTAACACTGTTTGCAGCTCCTAAGATACTAAAAGCAGTCCATGCCCATAACATTCAGTAACATTCACACCACAGGAATGCCAAACAATGATCATACGCAATTTTATTGGGTAACACCTAGATATTCAGTGGTATTACCATTGATGAACAATGAATTGCTTCTTAATTCGCCAAAGCCTGTGTGAAATCTTAAAATGTACAAGTCAGGAGTTCGATAGAATATTCCCTACTTGCCTGGATGAGTGCAGCTCCAACAACAGTCAAGAAACTCAACACCACCTAGGACAAAGCAACCACTTGACTGGTTTCCCATCCGCGACTTTCAATATTAATTTCCTCCACCACTGACACACATTGGCTGCAGTGTTTACAAGATTCACTTTAGCAATTCACCAAGACTCCTTCAATAGCAGAGTGGAGTTGTGGGCAGTCATGGGTGAGGAGTGTTTTTTTGTTTAATTACCCATTCACGGGATGGAGGGCATCACTCATCATTAGACTCTTAACTCCAGATTTTTTTATTGAATTTAAATTCCACCATCTGCTGTGTGGGATTGGAACCTAGGTTCCCAGAACATTATCTGGGTCTCTGGATTAACAGTCCAGTGATAATACCACTAGGCACCATTTTCCCCTGACAAAAACTGCATACTGATGTGCAGGGTATTGCAGAGTAAGTGCTGCTTAATAGCAGTTGATGAATTTGCTGGTAACAGAGTAGACTGATGGAGCAGTAATTGGTTGGAGCAGGAGGCGGGTCAGTGGTTGGAGGGTGACCCCCACTACTTCCATCCATCACTGTTGAATTGCCCCAACACTGACTCTTCTCAGATTCCACATACACAGCTCCAGTTGTTAATAATTTGTTTTTGTCTAAATGTAACTGTGGTCCAGCCAATATTAAAACCGGTATTGACACTCCTCACTCTGGAAGTCATTTATCATCATTTACTCTATCGAAACCACCATCTGATTTCAATGTACTTTCTCTCTCCAGTGAGGATGAGTGCTACCTGTACGGGGTCTTCAATGGATACGATGGGAGTCGAGTCTCTAAGTTTGTAACGCAGAGGTTGACAGCAGAGCTGTTGCTGGGACAGCTGACTCTCAGTCACAACGATGCTGACATCCGCAAGGTGCTATTGCAGGTATTGAACCAATCGCTGACCATGTCACAATATCAGGGCAGCCTGGGCAAGGAGGAAAAGCCATTCAGTCATAGGCTTTAGATTAAACCCTGTGACAGGCTGGTGGAGAGTAGGAGTAAACTGAAACTTGTTGGTAGGAGGTTTGAGGTTTATATTAAACCTGGTCACAGTTGGGATGATAGTTGAGCCTGATCAGCTAAGTGTTTGATGTTTAAGATTTATAAAACTTTTAAATCTTAATCTGCTTTTTTTTTTCCTGTAAATCTCTAATAGTAAGTAAGGTGAGGGCTTTTTTTTAAGTTTACACTGTGATCTGTCTCTTGATTGACTTTTAATATTAAAAAATGGTATTAAGTTATCCTAGAGCAGTGTTTTTGAGCAATAAGAGTGTGCTAATGCTGCATTTTGAGCAAAGTGTGTTGTGTTTGTTCTTAGGTAATTTCTGGGTCTGTAGACTATTAAAAGGGCAGAAATGGTTTATAGTACAGTGATGTGCTTTTCCTGTCAGATGTGGGAGATCAGGGAGAATTTGAGTGTTCCTGAAGTGTGTGTTTTACGAATGCTAATAGATCACATGGATCGTTTGGAGCAGCAGTTAGAGGCAATGAAGAGTTTACAAGAGCAAGGAGGTGTAAGGATATCAATTTAAGAAGGTGGAAACACCGCAGATACAGTCAGGGAGGTGGTTGACCACTAGGAATGGAAGGAGAAGTAGGCAGGTAGTTCATGAGACTCCTTTGGCTATCCCCATCTCAAACAGCAATGCCGGTTTGGATACTGTAGAGGGGGTGGCTTCTCAGGAGAGCATAGAATTGACAGCCAGGTTTCTGGTACCATGATTGACTCCACTGTAATGAGGGATATGTTCGGTTCCAAGTGATCGATTCTAATAGGGGACAGTCTAGTCTGGGGCTCAGACAGGCATGTCTGCAGTTGTCAGCGAGACATGAGGAATGGTGTGTTGCCTCCCTGGTGCCAGGGTCAAGGATGTCTCTGGGAGGGTGTAGAATATTCTGAAAAGGGAGAGTGACCAGCAGGAGGTCATTGTACACGTTGGTACCAACAACACCGGTAAGGAAAGAAATGAAGTTTGGCGGAAAGAATACAGGAAATTAAGCAGGATGTTTAAAAAGTAGGTAATTGAAGGTAGTATCATCCAGGTGACTACCGTGCCATGTGCTAGTGAGAGTAGGAATAGGAGGACAGAGCAGATGAATGCGTGTCTGAGGAGCTGGTGTAGGGGGCAGAGATTCACATTTTTAGAACTTTGGCGTTTCTTCAAGGGTAGAAATAACATGTATAAGAGAGACAGATTCCATCTGAATTGGAAGGAGACAAATATCCTTGAGGAAATTTGCTGGTGTTACTTTTAAACTAGTGTGGGGGTGGGGGGAGAGAAACAATGGTGAGAAAAAAGAGAAAAAGTTGAAGTTAGTACAATAGATAAGGGAAGCAAGTCTAATAGTCAAGGCAAACAAGAGCTTGGCAAGAGATTGAGGTAAGACTGATAAATTAAACTGCATTTACTTCAGTGTAAGAGATCTGACGGGTAAGGCAGATGAACTTAAGGCATGGTTGGGAAGATGGGACTGGGATGTCATAGCTGTTACAGAAATGGGAGGGGCAGGAATGGCAGCTTAATGTTCTGGGGTAAAGATGCTATATAGGAGGGACAGAAAGGAGGGCAATAGAGGACGGGGAGTTGTGTTTTTGGTTAGGGAAAACATTAGGGAGGATGTTCCTAGAATATCATCCAGTGAAGTCATTTGGGTGGAACTAAAAAATAAGAAAGGGATGATCGCCTTGTTGGGATTGTATTATAGGCCCTGAAATAGTCAGCGGGAAATTGAGAAGTAAATATGTAAGGAGATCTCAGATAGCTGTAAGAATGATAGGATTGAAATGGAAAGCAGTTTTAACTTTCCAAACATAGCCAGTGTTAAGGCCATGGATAGAGAGGAATTTAACTTTCTTATTCAGTATATGAATGTAAGTACTAGAGAAGGAGCAATACTTGACCTTCTGTTGGGAAATAAGGCAGGGCAAGTGACTGAGGTGTCAGTGGGGGAGCACTTTGGAGTAAGTGATCACGATTAAAATAGTTATGGAAAAGGATAAAACTGATCAAAAAGTTAAAGTTCTAAATTGGACAAAGGCCAATTTTGACAGTATTATGCAGAAACTTGCAAATGTTGATTGGGGAGGATATTTGCAGGTAAAGGGATTGGCTTGGAAGTGGGAGGTCTTTATGAATGAGATAACAAGAGTTCAGAAACAGAATGTTCCTGTTAGTGTGAAGGGCAAGGCTGGTAGGTGTAAGGGATACTGGATGACTCAAGAAATTGAGGCTCTGCTCACGAAGAAAAGGAGACATTTATCAGATACAGACAGCTGGGATCCAGTGATTCCCTAGGAGAGTACAAGGACAGTAGGAGTATACTTAAGAGGGAAATCAGGAGGTCAAAAAGGGTAATGAGATAGCTTTGGCAAATGAGGTTAAGGAGAATCCAAAGGGATTTTATAAATACATTAAGGGCAAAACAGTAACTGAGAATAGGGCCCTTTAAAGATCAACAAGGCCATCTCTATGTGGAACTACAGCAGATGGGTGAGATATACTAAACAAGTATTTTGCATCAGTATTTGTCAATATAGACTTAAGTAAAGCATTTGAGCAGGTTCCACATGATAGAGTGGCTAGTAAGGTTAGATTACATAGGATCCACAGGGAGCGAGCCAAATGGATACAAGATTCTCTTGAAAGTAAGAGACAGAGGATGATTGTGGAAAGATGTTTTTTCGGACTGGAGGCCTGTGACCAGTGATTTGCTGTAAGAATCAGTGCTGGGTCCAATGCTTTTCGTCATTTATATGAATGATTTGGATGTGAATGTAGGAGATATGGTTTGTAAAATTGGTGGTGTAGTGAACAATGAAGGAGGTTATCTCCGAGTACAATGGGACCTTGATCAGATGGCTCAATGGACCAAGGAGTGACAGATGGAGTTTTAGATAAATGTAAGGTGTTGCATTTTAGTAAGGCAAACCAGGGCAGGACTTGTACAGTAAATGGTAGCATCCTGGGGAGTGTTGCCGAACAAAGAGACTTAGGGGTGTAGGTGCATAGTTCCTTTAAAGTGGAGTCGCAGGTAGGCAGGGGAGCGAAGAAGGCGTTTGGAACACTTACCTTGATTGGTCAGTGCATTGAGTGTAGGAGTTGGGAGGTCACGTTGCAGCTGTACAGGACATTGGTGAGGCCACTTTTGGAATACTGAATAAATTCTGGTCGCCCTTCTGTAGAAGGGATGTTGTTAAACTTGAGAAGGTACAGAAAGATTTACAAGGATGTTGTTGGGACCGGAGGGTTTGAAGTATAAAGAGAGGTTGAATAGGCTGGAGCTGTTTTCCCTGGAGAGCCACAGACTGAGGACTAACCTTATAGAGCTTTATAAAATCTTGAGGGGCATCGATAGGGGTGCTTAGCCAAAGTCTCTTTCCTAGGGTGGGAGAGTCCAAAGCCATAGTACGTAGGTTTAAGGTGAGAGGGGAAAGATTTAAAAAGGACCGAGGGGTAATGTTTTCACACAGAGGGTAGTGCGAGCTGCCAGACGACATGGCAGAGGTGAGTACAATTATAGCCTTTAAAAGGCATCTGGATGGGTATGTGAATAGGAAAGGTTTAGAGGGATATGGGCCAAATGCTGGCAAATGGGACTAGGTCAGATTGGGATATCTGGTCAGTGCGAATGAATTGGACCGAAGGGTCTCTATCAGTGCTGTAAGATTCTGTCTCTGTATACGGAAATGTCATAAACAGAAAGGAAAACAATAATAAACAGAATCACTGAATTGATATGGTGAAGAAGGGAACCATTCAGCCCATATTATCTGCTCTAGTTCTCCTAATGGACATCATGACCTCGTGCCTTTCCCCTGCCTTTTCTTCATAACCCTGCACATTGTTTCTACTCAAATAACCATCTAAAGTCTTCTTGGATACCTTTACCTGCCTCCACCACTGTGTCCGGTATTGCATTCCAGATCCTAACTACTCAGTGTGTGAGAGAGGTTTTCTTTTTATAGCATTTGCTTTTGCAAATTACCTTATGTCTGTATCATCTCATTCCTGATCCTTTTATGAGGTATCATAATCTGGAATAAGAGCAAGCATAAGAATTAGGTACAGGACTAGGCCCCTTGAGTTTGCTCTACCATTCAATAAGATCATGACAAATGTGATTACTGCACATTCCTGCCTGACTTTGATAACCTTTCACCTTTGACTTATCAAGACTCTATCCACTTCAGCCTTAAAGATTTTGGGACAAGAGTTCCAAAAAATCTCTGAGGAAGAAAGACATTGTCCCTATCAAACATTTCCAGTACAGGGACCACGTGGGTTTAAGATGTGCAGTAAAGCTCCGACAACACTGCCCCAATCAAATACTCCCAGGACAGGTACACGACTGTTATATAGAGAGTAAAGCTCCCTCAACACAGTCCTTATCAAAGACTGAGATAACAAGGTGTAGAGCTGGATGAACACAGCAGGCCAAGCAGCATCAGAGGAGCAGGAAAGCTGA